GGTCTGCTGAAGGCGCCTGCCGGCCTCCCTCCCGCGGCCGGCCCTTGGCGATGCGGGCGTGCTGGGGGAAGGATTGCAGCAGGGCTCGTCCTCCCGGCCTCAGTTTCCTGTTTTGTGCAGGAAGGGTCGGGGTGGGCATAATCGACTTTCTCACCGGCCTCCCCGTGCTGTTTTAAAAATTACGACTTAGGAAAGCTCTAGGAAAAAAATTAATAAAAATGGTTGAAGACTCCTAAATGCCTACCTCGGGCCGAGGTCTCCAGGGCCCTTGAATGGCATAGCGCTCGCTCGGGGTGGACGAGAAAATGGCCAGATGTGCGTGATTGTGTGTTTGTGCTAATAGGGCGTGAAGGGGCGTGAATCCTAGAGACCTCGGCCACTTGGGCTGGGGGGGTTGTTAAAGCCTCTGCTATCTCTGTCCCCCCAAACCCCCCCCCCCAGTTTGAGCTTTGAAATCTCAGGTATTATTTCTATCACTCCATTCCTCTCTTTGGCCAGTTCTTTCTGCTTAGGGTAAAACCAAGCCACGTGTGAACTGGGGCTGATGAAATTCTAGCCAGGGGTTCTTCGGAGTGTGGGGGGAGGGATGTGCCCCCCCCCCACATCTGCCAGTCGGGGCAGCCAGATGTGGAGACAGTCAGATGTACGAGCCAAGGAAGGCGTTTTCCTTTGCGCTCTGATTAAACTAGTCTTTGCTGACTTCACTGCACTGAGACTTTCTGTTCATTGAGTCCTCAAACCCCTGCATCACTCAGGGAGACTAATGTGCCCCCCGGCTTTTCTCTTCTTCCTACTAGCTGTAGGCAACTGCCCTAATCCCGCTCTGAGGACTGGAAGACCGCTCACTTTCCCTGTGCGAGGCTCCCGGCTGTCCGGCCTTTCCTGGCTGGGCAGTGGCTCAGTTTGACGGGCCTTCAGGTTGAAGGGCCCCTGAACCCCTTGAAACTGTTTGCAGAATTCCGCCTGTGCGCCCACGTGGGCTTTTTTGAAAGGGAGGAGCCGTGATTTTCATTGGGTTTCCAGAGGGGCCCCCGCCCCAGCTTTAAATGGAAGTGCCTTTACCAGCTGGACCTTCCCCGGATAGAACCTCCCTGGGTCTCTCATCTCCCAGCCTCTGAATGGGAGAGGTGAGGACTCAGGCATGCACCGCGCAGAGCCGAGACCCCGAGGCTGCTTGCGGTGGGGTGCCAGAGCCAGCGCCTGCGTGACCTTGAGCCAGTGACTTAGCCGGCCGGCCTCAGCCGCTTCGTGTTTCGTGCGGATAATAACCATCACTGTCCCTGTTTCAGAGGGCTTGTGAGGTCTAAGATAACCTTTGAAAATGCTGAACTGAGTTCCAGCGCATCGTAAATGCTGAGTAATTGTTACTCTTACCTGACTAATTAGCTCTCGCATCTGGTTGCTGCAGCAGAGACCTTTTACCTAAATGGAGTCTTAAATCTCAAATCCTTGGTTCCAAAAGTCTGGTGCTGTGGCGTGTGAGCCATCGCCGGTGACTGCAGGTGGACGGCAGTGGCAGCTTCCAGGAGGTCTGGCAGGGCTTTGACAGGTGGCTGACAGGACTGCACTACGTCATAATTTTCTTTGGTGCCCAGTAATTGATCCCGTGCATGCGTTCCGCATAGTTATCAAGCGCCCACTAAATGCCAGCCCGGACACCCGGGACGCGCATTATCAGGTGAAGAAATGAGGGTTCCGGTTACTGGAGAGCTGGCATGTGCTTGGCACGTGGTGACCGGCCATCCAGCAGATTCGTTGAGGGAAGATTAGGAGGAAGTGGATAGGCCTTTTTTGTAAAGAAATGTTGTCCACTGCCCATGAAGGTGTTGATTGTCCAGGTAGGTAGGTGCCAGCCAGTCACTCAGAAGACCTTGGCTTCTCCCTGATGACCCAAGAATTCCCTCAGCATGAATGTGGCAGGTGGGAAGCAGGTGGGGCGTGACTTGCTGCAATCCCAGGGTGGGGGGGGGTCAGTCTTTGCTTTGGCTCTAGTCCCCCCTGCCCGACCTGATGTGGACCACAGACTGAAGCTCTAGGCCGCTTCGAGGCCCGCCAGCCCACTTCCCTCCCCACTGCCCGCTCCGAGCCACAAGGCGGGGCCTAGACCACCACCCCACAGTGGGCCATCTGCCGACATGGACCCCCTGCTCCAGAGCCCGATTTCCCCAGACACCCACTTCCAGGAGCGGGCAGAGTTTGATCATCTTTAATGCTCCACGTTCTCAGAACTCGCGAGGTAGCAGGTTCGTCAGCTGCTGTTATCCTCATTTTACAGAGGACGACACTGAGAACAGGGAGGTCGAGCAACCAGGCGGGGTGACGCAGGTGACACAGCACAGAGGGCAGAAAGCTCAGTGGGTGGGAAAGCCGCCCCCGGCCGGGCCACGCCGCCCCCAGGAGAGCCGGGAGCTGAGCGTGCGAACAGACGTGGCTGAGTGGCAGAGGTGGTGTGGCTGAGGCAGAGGTGGTGTGGCTGAGGCAGAGGTGGCGTGGCTGAGAGGCAGAGGTGGCGTGGCTGAGGGGCAGAGGTGGCGTGGCTGAG